AAGCGAGTATATTCATGTTCTTTTAATGCACAGAGGTCTGTTGTATATTTGAAGTTTTATTTTAGTTTGACGATTGCGAAGGGCAGATTCATCTTCTCTCTTTCATTCGTGTTGCCACTTTAGCGTTCATGTTTGTTATAAGTGTCCTGGTCCGGCTTGGTTGTCATCTTTATTCGTGATGTATTTTATTTTACGAACATGCTGGTGATCAATGCAATACACTTTTGGTTAATAATGCTGCTTTAGCTCTGATCCTTTGTGGTATGTCTTGATTGTACTACTGCGATAGTGATTTTTCCTCACCAAAATATGCAGGCAACAAATGTAAATGCTGCCAAAAGTTTGTCATTACGTGATGTATCTAAAAAACATCAAGTTCCTGAACGTGGTCGTGTACTACGTAACCGGAAACTCAATAGGACGTGGAATGCTGTGAAGCAAAACTACAGAAGTGAGGCTGGCCACGCCAAAATCAAGTGAGATATGTCTAGCCTTTCTTCAGCCGCCAAGGCTTCGATAGACTATCCCCGGGTTCGGTGTCTCTCGAACTACGAAGATTCAACGTCGTCCGGCCAATCCTGGTTAAGGTCAGCTGTGGTTATGGAACAGGATTGGCCGTCCGAGAGACTCCGAACTTGGGGTATGATGCAGCACAGCTATCACTATGTCGACCGAGTGTCGTCGCAAGCTGCCCCACTCGACGAGAAGAAGTAAAACCGTCCCGTCTTAGGCTGACTAGGCTTAGCTAGGTGGCAGCACAGTCGCGCCGGCAGGGGGCAGTGCCACAACCAGCCGACTGATATTTTCGTGTGACGTCAGAACCGGTGCCTCCCTGGTCGTTGGTGTCACCAGAGAATCGGCTTGAATCAAGTCAGGTGTCAGTGTGCTATTTTTTCAGCTTTCAGGTTTCCTTGTTGAGAGCAATCGCAAGAAGTCTGGGGTAGGTAACACCCGTCACCCTCATCTATGGAAAGTTATGCTTTTGCGGAGCGACCTTCAAAGCTAGCGCGCCCCATGCACTGTCGTGTTTTCAGCTTGCTGTCGGTTTTCCAATATATGGAAGCCAGTTACAGGCGTCTCTTAGTCTCATTGGTCAATCGCACACACCACGTGTGGTTCATCAACGACCAATGAGAAGATGAGAAACGCCAGCAAACTGACAGCATGCTGATTTGGTGATCAAACAGCGCCCTGACCACACCCCTCCCATCTATCGCTGACACCCTGCTCGGTAACTCGTCTCGAGACGCGACTGAGCCAGGCCCTTCGACCGGTTACCGCCGCCGGCATAATTCCGCCTGATTCCGACTGCACCGCTGGACACCACACTGCGGCGAGCGACCCCGCTGTCAGACTCGGGCCGAACGCACCCCCTCCCCTACCCCCACTCCAGCTGTGGCGAGGGTGAGGGTATTCACCGCATCAAACCTACAGGCCGTCTGGACCCTTATCTTGAGACCAATAGTACCTATATATCTGAGTTTTAGGTGCTGAAACGTTTCGATAAAGTCTTGTCAACGTCCAATGTCATTGTGAACATTAGAAATACACGTGGAAATTACAATTTCGGCAAAGTTGTGTTTTTCCCAAAAATGTGAACTTTGACCTGGTTGAGCTACCTCTAAATAAACATATTTTCCAAAAATATTTTACACACAACGTTTTCTCGGGTGGTAGAACAGGTTGGCTGCCCGTCCCGTCGAAAATTCTCAAAACGAAATTTTAGCCCCGTTTTAGTGCCACCCTACTATATACTCGTATTTATTTATTCGCTCTCTCTCTCTCTCTCTCTCTCTCTCTCTCTCTCTCTCTCTCTCTCTCCAGTGTGATAACATTGACGACTCGTAAATTTAAAGGAACTATCCCACCTTCTAAAATGTTGTTAAAACCAGTTAAATTGTGCCCGACTTTATAGATTGGATGACCAGGAACACGGTTCTGGCATTTATTTTTCATTAAACGTCTTAGGCTTCCCATATTCCAAACACAAACTTTCAAATATGTGACGTCACAGCCCAAAATTACCTCCTTCCCCAGGCCACATAACTGTCATAAAGCTGATTCTTTTTACTCTGTAGGCACCACAACAAAGTTCAGACCAAGTTTTAAGCGATTTTTCAACGAACAAACCCATTTAAATCAGAATGACTAAACGAGGTGACGTCACACTAACGGTCGCTCCATGTTGAAGATAGGGCCTTGCGCAAGGCCCATTTTCAAATGAAGGGAACGAATTTCTTCAACACCAAGAGGCCGCGGGGGTTGCAACCTAGATAGATAGTGGTTTCTGAACCTCGCCGCAAACTTGGCTATCTCAACTCAAACCCCATGTTAAAGGTGGGATAGTCCCTTTAAACATATCACCATGCATCAGCCTGTGATGTACAATGTACATAAATTATTTTTCTAAACCATACAGGCTTTGTGAGTATGACAGCTGGCTCTACCCGTGTGCTCTCAAGTGAAGACACCTGTGCACACCTCAGACGCCCTCCAAGCCAACGGCGACCGCAAACGGGCTCCTATACCGTTAGCCATGGCACGCGGAAGGCTCGAGACGTTTTCACTACCCGTCACATACAGTGAAAGGGAATTTTGATCGCACTACGTGGTAATCCACGCTGCCCGGCTTAGTTGCGACAATAACTTACCCAGTAGGTACCTAGTTGTAAATGATATACCTAACCCTTGGAATACACGAATTTTCAGTGCTTAGTAAAGTCATCCATTATGAATGACACCTTTAACCCTCGCCCGCACATGGGGGGGGGGGGGTGGTTGCCACCCCCCCCCCCCAGGTAGTCTTTCTGCTCTGCACTCGACATTTTTAAAGCTAGAAGGCTGATTTTTCGTATAGCTGCTCCTCTATCCTTTCTTGATGTCCCCTGAAAATTTCAAGTTTCTGTGATTTTTGGTTTCGGAGATATGACCTTGTTTTTCAGGTCATGTCATGACCCAAATGGCCAATTCTCAACATCTTGCGTTTGCTATGGGCCTTGTGAGCTTTTGACACCTTGATTTCGGCCTTTTTTGCCAGTCTTACCTCCCACCTGTCATGGAACATGTTATTCGACGATGTACAGGTGTCAAGGTCAGGGTCAAGGTCAACCTAGGTCATCTAAGATAATTGCGTTTTAGGCAAGCTGAATTTACTTTTTGTGAAGTTTTTTGACTGCATTTTTGGTAAAAGCTTCTCAGATCATGATTTCATGTAATATGGACACATAAACAATCGGTGCACACATCAGTATACACACAGACACACACAGACATACAAACACATATAATTGACCTTGACCTAGCTTGACCTGAAATGACCTCAGCAGCAAAAATCTGGTCGGGTAGTGTGACAAAGAGGTTCTAGCTGGCTTGGCACCAGAAAACGGCATCGTCATCGGTATATGATAAGCAGCGCACTTGATATCCAACGGTGACCCAAAACAGCAACATTTTTTAGTTTGACCTGACCTGGAAGGTCAATGACTGACCTGAGAAGGTAAAACTGGGTATCATTGGATTCGTCTCTTCCCAAAGAATCTTTTTGGTCTTTACCGCTAAGCTCTATCTCCAACGGGAACGAAATGGCGCGGGGGGGGGTGGCAACCACCCCCCCCCCCCCATGTGCGTTCTAGGATGGGAAAATGGCATGTGCGGGCGAGGGTTAACCCGCGTCCCGTTCGGGGGAGGGCGAATCGGTCCCAGTCTCCTTTTTTCTATATCTTATAGTTGTAGGCCAGTGATGGAACCACCAAAATTTGTATATGTACCTACGCCTTAACGGTATCAACTTTGCACACTCAGACAAAAGAAGAATGTGGAAACCCCAAACAGAACGGCCGAAAATGTTTTCAGAGTGACGTCATGTTCACTGTTCAGTCACTTTTGAGGCAAAACGTGGTTCTGCATCAATGGCTTTCAAGAGCCCAGTTTTTTACCCTCGCCGGCACCGGGTTGGTTTTTCGCAAATAACTCGCGTAAAAAGCGGCTAATCGCGACGAAACTTTCAGTACCCTCGCTTCGCTCAATTTTACATCAACCTTAACAATTTCCTGACCCTGACCCAAATGATCTTTCACCTGTGACCTACTTTTCGAGACCATGTTTGGCCGGAATAGCGATTCGGGCTATGTCGGCTCGCATTAGCCGCGCCATCCGCGCGTTTGCAGTCTTTTCGTGGTTTCAAGCGTTCAAACCAGTGATTTGATGTTGCTCTCATGCATTAACCTTCCAGGCGGTGGGGGACATTTTTTTGCCCCCCCCCCTTTAGTTTTTTTCGATATATCTCCAGAACCGCTGCGCCGATCGTCACCAAGCTTTCAGTACCCTCCCGCGAATAGCTTTTGCACATTGTGACAATTTTTTTCCAAAGGCTATGATAGGTTGACCGCTAATGACGTCGAAGTGACGCCATTTCTGCCATTTTCGACCCAAAAAAGGTTTCGCGGGAAGAGCTGTCAGGCCTACAGCTTTAGAGATACTGAAAAAATGTTCCGGACATAAAAAGGTGTAGAATTAAGAGGGCTACAAAACTGCTATCTCAGATTTTTGAAAGGATTGTGACTCCCAAAAATAAAAAAAAATCATTTTTTGAATATATCAGCCAAAAAATCCAAAAAGTTTTTGAATTTCGAAAAAATCGGAATATATGTAATAGTCCCTAGCGTTTTCTATCCACATACCAAACTTGAGATCGATACCACTTTTTTGGCCAAATTATAGCGAAAAGCTGCTCAAAATTGATGGCGTCAAATTTTCAAACACAATTTATAGCAATTTTAGATGTCGTAGCGCTAAAAAAGACCACCATTAGACTCCCCGTGACGAGTTGCATCGAATCAATAGCCATTTTATGCAAAACTATCAACTTTGAAATGGGAGATAACACGGAACTTTGGCCGCCAGGTGTCACTGTAGGCGTTCCTGCTGATTCAATTTGCGCCGGTGCCGTTCGGAGCCGTGTCGTGCGGTGAAAGTGGGTGAAATATTGAGGAAGTGTGAGTCACATGTGTCATAATACCTAAATTTGGAAGAAAATGGCCCAGTGTTGTGTCTATGGCTGCTCGGAGAATGGTGGGTTTGTATTTTCTCGCGACAAGAGGCCGAGGAAGATAGGTATGGCTCAGGCTTGGCTCAGGCTGCAACGGATTTCATCCCACCAAACACTTGATTGTGTGTCGGAAGCATTTCACCGACGATGATTTTTTGGAATATACTGCCTACGGTAAGTTTTTATGGTCATGCGCAGCTTTGTATCTAAGATATACCATATCATTCGCCACCCGGGGAACTGGGAAGTCACCTACCGGCTACCACCATAAGTATCAAACGAAAAATGGGTCTGCTTTTCATGGTATATTCATGTCCTAAATGCTACAGAGGTCAACAATCATTTAATCTTAGAATTATACAACTACCGTAAACGGGGGTGACTTTGCCTCGCCGGGTGACTTTGCCATGCTTCTCGAAAAATGCCTTAGGGAGATCTCCCATGATATTTTACGAGGAATGTAGTTATGTTTTATGCACAAATGAAAGGTAATTGATGGGCCTCCCAATATAACTAACACTGATAGGTAAGTTACCACTAAATACCTACACTGTAAACTCATTTCAACAAACGTTTGTTACTTTTACAAGGAAAATTATTTAGCGCAAATCCCCGCACCCTTTGCCATGTCATCGAACGACCCTATTGTTTGTCATGGTACGTTAGGCGGCACGGGCGGACATCGATAGCAGCGCCTCTATCGGTCACTAGGGAAAGCTGGGCTGTAGGCGACGAAATACCGGCTGAGTTGTCACACGTTGAATAGGTTTATAGACATCAGTTTTGTGAAAAAGTTGAACTTTTGCCTTCAATATTTCTACAGGCAATTTTAGAAGTTTCTTCACATAGATTACAAAACCGTTTAGATTATTGTATTCACTTCAAGCCTTCCCTATTGTTCTTGACGATGATGCGGGAACTATTTCTAATTAGTGTTTCTAGCTTAGTAAAAGAGCATATTGTGCAAACGATGAAAAAAGCATAAATGGAAGATTTTAAATGCAATTTTCTCTAGCAATTAATGGTGGATTCTCTACAGATCAAGGAAAAGGGGCATGCTAACTGATAATTTAAAGTTCTTGGGGCCAGTTGTTTTCTTCTTTTCTTACGTCGCCCCAATGGCCGCGAATACACTTGTGATAACGCCTATCGAGTTGTTCTTACAACCCACTCACATGTAGTTCGTTAGACTAGCTACCAAAGTTTGCTTTGTCATTGTTGTGTGAACGACTGTGTTCCTAGTTATAATCATGCGGCTACTAGGTAAAGACCTGCGCATGTTTGCATTTAACAGGGCTGAGCTGTGTACTTGTTAAGTCAAATCAATGCAAATCTTAGTTAGCATAGTAATGTCTACGTGCAGCAAACCTGTACTTGTAAGCAATCTACCAGTCTCAGGCTTGTAACGTTTTACAAAGACCTCCCTTGTATTCGTCAGTTTTCTCCACAAATCGCAGGTCGCCGCTCTGCAGTCTCATTATTACAGCAAAACAGCATTACTGAAAGTAGGTCATGTATTTAAAATGGTATATACACATTACACACACAACGGTGATGACACTGATGACCCAAGGGGCAAGGGCAATAACGCATGCGAAAAGGCAATGAGCGTCATCACTTACGAGTACACGGTAGAATCACACGTTTACATGCATTAGGTTTGAGTTAAGATAGTCAACTTGGGTTCTCTGCCTCGCAATAAATGGTTAGGAGACTCGCAACATCGAGGAATGCCTTGATTCGGAAATGTGTTATTTCTAGGTCTGCAGAACACGAATTTTAAGGGGCAAACCCATTCGAATCTAAGGGGCATTCAAATTCATTAGCTCCTTGGAATTCAGGTGCTTTTTCATTTTTAGACTTCTTGAGTTTCTGCAGTTTGCTGTCTTCAGTGTAGCGACCCTTGCTTGCAAGCTGGAGCTTTCACTCCTGATGAAAGCCTGAAAGAAAGCATCGCTATATTATAGCATATGCAGAACAATATGGCCTGGAGCAGAACACATTGTGCTTACTTCCATACATCACGCCCTTATTCAGCAAATTTCTCTGATTCAATCTGCATTACTATCAGTTGGAAGACATACATTTAATTAAAAAATGACAAAAACGACCGAACACTGTTACCACCTACCATTTTCACGGAAGTGCGCAGGAGGCCACATCACTGCACGGCGGTTGGTGCGCAACTGAAACTTTCAAAATGAAACGGCCGGAAACGTTTTTGGCGCCACCTATATAACAAGTAACAGCTTTGTGTATGTTACTACTAACACGTCTAACTAGCGTAACTAAGTCCGTGTTGCAAAGGTGTAGCTGATACCTTCGACAAGGACATAGATCACATAAGTATGTATCAGTATTGTTGCAATGGTGTAGCTGGTTCTTTCGACAAGGATATAAATTACAAATCATAAGCAAATCTATGTTCCATATTACGAATAAGACTTTGGTAGTTTTCACAATAGCCTCCATAATCCTCGTCAATTTTATGAATGTTCGACTAGGTGCTGGGGCCGGTACTTATATTTGCCCTGTTGATTCAACCAACTTTGACAAGATATTCGTCGTTCGACATAACCTTTATTAGTATTTTTGACAAACGCTCGTCGTTGTACGACAACCCCTTGTCAAAATGAGTTTACAGTGTAACTGTGATCCATTTTATTGGAGTCATTGAAATGGTCAAATTTGAAGAGTTCCAAACTTTTTATTATCTAGCCATGTCTTAGACAACCTGCAATGCTGAAGCTTGGTATGGTTGATCATGACAAGGCTGTTAACCCGCGCCCGGCTGGGGGTCCTGGATTTCCACGCCCTGCTGGGGGGGGGGGTGTTTGAACACCCCCCCTTCTAACTCGGCTCCTGGGCCACGTGGCGATACGCGGAAGGCGGCGTTCGAAAGAGCGTCAAAAATAATGAGGAAATCACTTCGGTCAATTTTTTGGTCAGGTCAAAGGTCAGGTCACCAGAGGTCATTGAAGGCAAAATTTCGCCGATTTCCAGGTCGAATGTCGAAAATTTCCAAGAAGCCAACGCATAACTCGGGAACCAATAGAGCTACAGCGCCGCGGAAAAGCGCATTCGATAGCCCTATTAACGCCCTTTCTGAGTAATCTTCTCAGATTTCACCTAGCGTCAACGGTTTTGCCTGCAGGGGGCAAAAACTGCAAAAATAGCCGATTTTTTCGGAAACAGTTTTTCTGCAATTACTTTTGACCCAAACATTGTACGAGCTTACTTTTACCGGCATCGTGTTCCTCTCGTCAAGACGCATCGAATGAACTATAACTTGACCTTGAAAGGTCAACTTGAAAATTTGACCTCAGGTCAAGGTCATGACCTGACCGGAAAGGGTCATGTTGCATATCAGTCGATCCGTATCGTCGAGCTGAACACATCTAAGGTGTTTTCATCGCTCTAGCATGCCTCTATCAAAAGTTATTTGCGAAAAACTGTTAGATACCATTCGTGACCTAAGATGACCTCAGGGCATAAACAGGGGTCACGGACACCATTTTCATGTTCAGTGTGTCTAAACCACTTGTAATTCAGTGTTTGGGAGTGTTTATAATGTCTTTCGTCCAAAAGAGACGCATTTCAATTTTCTCCCATTGACTTATAATGGGGAGGTCGCAAAATTGACCTGACCTTAGGTCATCGATATCAAAATTCTGAGATATACATTTTGTACATGCTATTGCTCTTAGCAATCGCTGAAAGTTTCAAAGCGATCGGTCACTCGGTGTAGCTATGACAGACATTGAAACTTTTTATGAGGTGAGGTCACTTCAAGTGACCTGGTGACCTGACCTTGAATGACCTTGGTCTGAAATTTTCACAACATATGTAGAATTGATGCATGATAAGGTGTACCAAAAACGGCGGCGCTCCGCGCCGCCGTTTTTGAGATATTCGCGAAAAACCACAAGGGGGGGGGTGTTCAAACACCCCCCCCCAGCAGGGCGCGGGTTAAGTTAGCATATCCAACAAAACTGGCATTTGTTACTTCACTTAGCTAAAATTTTTGGTGGCGATTTTTCCAAGTGAATAGCAGGCCACATGGGGTGACTTTGCCACCATGTTATTTATGCAAAAATTGAATACTTATACAATGCAATTCAAAATAATTTTTAATGTAGCATCATTTTGACCTCCAAACTGGTTTTTAAAAAAGTGAGAGTTTATACGTTTAAAATTAGCACAGGAATGCACAGTGGGAGTATAGAAAGGCAAAAATTACCAAACTAAAAAAATGGATGAAGCTGGGCCCAACTTTTCAGCACAGTTGCATGATCATCTACAACTCCGAAGTTTGCCAGTAAGACTAGCTGAAGAAATCGGTATCATTTCATAGATCAAAACGCTGATAATAAGGGTGCCGGTAATTTGCCGCAAGAACGTCTTCTTTCTGTTCCTCTCAATGCCGCTGGAGGAATGTGGCGCGGTCCTAGAGTACCGATACAATCATATTTTTGCTTATTTATCTATTCTAAACCATTTTTCAGTTTCTATTTACTATCAATGTCAATAATTTTCAACAAATATAATGTATTATAAAAGTAATGTATCTCTCCTTTTTTGTACATCATTAAGAGCAAAAAACTTTGAATTGCTTAACCCGCGCCCCAGTGGCGGTCTCCGCCAACTTCGCCCTAGTGGGGGGGGGGGGGGGGCATATGTTACCACCCACCTCTAACTAAAAAACTAAGAGGGCTAGAAAGACGCCGTAAAAAGCAGTCGATAGCTCTTGATGCGACGTTTGAAAGTATTTCAGTCATTTTTCATCTTAGAGCAATATTGGGGTCACCAGAGGTCATCAAAGGTCAAAATTTGCGAATTGCCATTATATTTTTCAGAAAACATGCCATTATCTCAGGAACTATGATAGCTAGAAAAACGCTGGGAAAAGCAATCGATAGCTTTTGAACTCGTCTTTTGATATAATTATCATCAAAAATGACCTCAGGTCAACGGTTTAGCCTCCAGAGGGCAAAAACTCCAAAAACAGCTGTTTTTTAGAAAAGTGTTTTTCGACAATAACTTTTGACTAAAAAAAGTTAGGTCATTTCTAATGCCAGAATCGTGTTCCTCTCGCCGAGACGCGTCGAATGAGCTATAATTTGACCTTGAAAGGTCAACTTCAAAATTTGACCTCAGGTCAAGGTCATGACCTGACCGGAAAAGGTCATGTTGCATATCAGTCGATGCGTCTCGGCAAGACAAACACAATGAGGCCAACCCCAGCGTTCTATCTCTTTCCAATCGAGAGTTATTGGCAAAAAACTGTTTGTAGCCTCAAATGACCTCGGATGACCTTTCAAGAGGCTATCAGCAAAAAAGACACCTTGGTCGTCACGGATGGTCCAAATCATTGTTATCCTGAAATATTTGGACTGTTCCTATGCGTACACACCGATCTAGAGGCATTTTCGTTTTTCTCCATTGACTTATAATGGAAAGGTCACGCCACTGACCTGACCTTAGGTTACGCATATAAAAAATCCGAGATATACAAATTGTAGGCATCCATAACATCATGTAATCCACCAAGTTTGAAACCTCTCTGACAAACACTGCAGGCTGGACATGATTGCAAACTTTTTTAGGCTTGGTCAGTTAACTTGACCTAGTGACCTGACCTGACATGACCTGGGGTCAAAAATTTCACACATTGTCCAAAATTGATGTACCAAAAGCTACCCCAAGCGGCGTGGCGCTATGCGCCGCGGTTTTTTATTTATACGAGAAAAAAAACGCGACAGGGTGGTAATATATGCCCCCCCCCCCCCCCACTGGGGCGAAGGTTATTTTTTTTCCTATTAAACAATTAAAGATGGTTGGCCTCCCCCATACAATGGAACAAAAATACTTTAAAATCATTTGCAAGCGTTAAAAAACCATTTTTTGACATAGTGGCAAAGTCACCCCTTTTTCAGTTTAACTTTGCCACGACTCATTTTCCTTAAAAAATTATATTTTTAGGCAAGATATAAATACGATAATAGCAAAACCAAAAGAGCTAATCTTCATCCGTGTTTTGAACATAGAGTCATCCCAACAAGTTAAGAAGTGTAAAGAATACAAGCGTCTAAAGTTGAAAACATGGCAAAGTCACCCCCGTTTACGGTACCTTTATTTGTACAAATTATTGCATGCTTCGTAGACATCTTACATCAACATCATAGGTGAGGTACGTATACTTCATGATCCATCAAAGTTTAAGGCAAGAAAACACACTTCACAGTGCTATAAACAATGACGTGCATTGTCAAGGGCCAGACAACAGCAGAAGAGGCTGAAGAAGGGGGTTATTCCATCTGTTACTCAGGGCAAAGCACCAGCTTCAACTGCTTCAGCAATTCGTAGGCAAGGCTAGGCGCAAGGAAAATGAACATGGCCAGCTGTTGGACAGCTTGGTCAGTGCAAACAACTACAGAGCAGCTTAGATGCTGTCCTTTACCTGCAGATAAGATTAATAGGTTTGTGCCTTGTGACACTATTTATCTAACTGTTTATCGTTATTGACATTTGAGCAATGGGCAGACGCTGTCAGATCCAGACAGGATAGGAGATTCTCTGTTTTGTGATTTGGATGGCAGATGTAAGGGGATCACTTCTCAGTTTGTTTTTTTGAAAGTTTTTTTTTCTTCTCACAACTCACAGACAAGTCACAAAAGTATACTTAACTGGGCAAATTGTATGTTCAATCTAAAGTGTTTTCACCTTTTGGCAGATGTTAATTGCCCAGAACCAACCAGTGGTAATAAAAGATGTGCATAAAGTTTCTGATAATGGTCTATCTCATGCCTTGTCAGGCTGTATTCAGTATGTATGAAGCAGTTAATACAAATTTTATTGTTTTCACAGGTACAAGAATGGGCTCAACAGGCAGAGGAAATGGAGAAGAGTGCTCCACCTCCACCTAACGTTGCTGCTTATGAGGAGTGCGACACTGAAGGGGGGTGTGCTGCACCACTGCGGGGCTATCTGATGGTGCTGTCAATATCAGCACCAGGCAGGGTTCAATGTCCAAGATCTGTTAGCCTGTCGTGATGTACGTGTCATAACACCAGCGTTCCTTGTCTCCGCACCAGTACGCGTATCGTCCGTGTCATTCCACGGAGGACGCCGTGCTCGACGCTGTCCACTGGATATCAACGCAAATCGACGTTAAAGTGAAGTCCCAGCTCTCTCCCGCCGAACGCACTCAGTCGCTCGCTATCACGAGGGATCATATCCATGTCGGGCGTATGACTGGTCTGAGGCCTGTTTCACTAACAAATAAAGTGTGTAATTACAAAGAAAAAACTTGAGTTTAAAAGAAATAATTACCAACACTTGAAATTTGGATTTCACGAAACCTTCGGGCATGAATTTTGAGTTTCAAATTTACCAACTTTTTTACAAAAAAAAAGTTTGTAAGAAACATCGAAATCGCAAACTTTCTGTTTCACGAAGACCAAAAACTTGGAAGAAAACGTTGTACTTACAAACTCGAAATTCCAGTGGCCCCTGCGTTGGGAATTTTATTACTTTTTGTGCAATGATGCAAAGCAATCAATTATTTGAAACAAATATGATATGCTGAGTCATTATATGCTCTTTTTTACTTAGCACAATCCCTACGAACCAGCTACGAGCAATAAATAAATATCGTCATGTTTTGTCATTCGCGCGCCATAATTGCATTCAACAGTCTTCTGCTGTCAAATGTTTTGCGTGCTATTTTCTTTCAATAATAAGATATTGTGAACTATCATTTGTACCATTCAGAAACAGCATCATTATTTTTAATTTATTCATGCAATTTCTGACATGAATACTAGACATAGTTTGATAAAAAGAAGCAATATCTGTAACATGTTATAGTTCTTGATTAAAAACAATTTTACTGTTTACAAGTTTATTTACTAACTCTTTTTATCGGAGGTGCCGCTGGTGATGAAGTTTAGTGAAATCCGATTTTACATAGTTTGCAAAAATACTTATGAATTGTAAAGCTCAAACACTTGCAATTGCAAGTTTTTAGTGAAACAGGCCTCTGATCAAGACTTACTCGTTTCTTAGGGGGCAAATCGATGCCGGTTACATACCTGTTCTTTCAGACATATTCCGTTCTGTGTGTCTCGTCTGTAGCCTGCAGAAATCGCTCATGCAGGTGGCGGGGATGTGCGCGCTCTGGGACGTTAGCATTAGCAGACTGAGCTTCACCGTCTCATGTTTATTGTACATGCCTACATTTGTGAATGGTGCATTGGAGGGCTACATGTGTATGCTGGTGCACAGTGCATTGCTTGAAAGCTGTATGTTATTTGGTAATCGGTGATATTGAATGCTTTTGAGTTTTGGAGCTTGCCTTGTCGAAGTGGTTTAGCTAGTAGGTACTCTGCTATGTTTCGATGTCAGTTCAATACACCGCTGATGACTATCATACACTGCTTCAAAAGCTATGTGTTGTATTCGCCATCGCGCAGTGACGCTCATAAGTCATGAGTTCATTGGCATGAATAGAAACGAACGAGTACTGTCTGCAGCTGGTTACAGGATACGGGCATGGTCTAAAGGAACTCCTACAGGGTGTAACGAAATTATCCGCACATCTATTTTTCGTCATATCTGTTCGCATAGTTTCTTTTCTGACGTTAGAAGCGAGAATATTGGATGAATGCGTGCCTCTGGTTTCGGCTTTCGCCTCGGCAGTGACCTGACCTTGCGATGTGACTTTTGCTCTGAGTAAGAGTCGAGTTACGGAAGGGTTCATTTGGTAGTTTTCTATCAAATGATTGAAAGCTTTGGGTTCATTTGATGGCATGGCGGCATGAGCCTGAAGCTGGTCTGCCAGCAGCTGGACATCAGCAGCAGCCAGTTGCATATCAGCCTGAGGCGCGATAATTGCTGGGACTTGGGTGACCGCGGGCGACCCGGGCGGACGCAGCCCGGGCCGTGTTCCACGGAGCGCTGCCTTGATTTCATACTTGTCACACACTACCCCTATATCTCCAACACTATGGTAGTGTGCAACAAGTATGAAACCAAAAGCGCCAACAGCGTTGGCAGCGCTCTGTGATACCCGGCCCCGGCCGTGACAGCAAATGGATCGGCAGTAACGCCCTTGCTGCCACCTGGTGGCCATTATTGAAAGCTTTGCTCTGTGCTCTCCCATTTGACCTTTTTTGACCTGACCTTGATCTGACCTCCACCAGAAAGTGACCTAAACCGTGCCTTTTGGTCTTATAACCAATACCATTAAGTTGGAAATGAAAAATTGGCCATAAAACATGCATTGCACAACCTTAGTAAAGTTGGGTTCGTGTGCTGACCTTTGGTGACCTGACCTGTGACCTGACCTGGTATTATCAGTGACCTCTAATAGCATCATATGTACTAGGCAACTGACGCCCTATCGCTGATTTTCGACAAAATGCGTTCTACTCGGTGTTATAGCGCATTCCCTAGAAGACCCGTGACCGGCAAAACATTTTATCTATGACCTGACCTGTGACGTCATCGATGACCCCGAGGTGAATGAAATTGGATTTCACTCGACAAATGTGACAGGGCTTTCAAACGCCGTTTGAATTTTGCGGATCCGCCCAGTAGTTTCGGAGATACGAGGGGGCAAAAAAAAGCCCCCCCCCCAGGTCGCGTTATAAGCAGACCCCACCAGGGCGCAGGTTAACCCGCGCCCTGCTGGGGGGGGGTGTGTTTGAACACCCCCTTTGTGGTTTTTCGCGAATATCTCAAAAACGGCGGGACGGAGCGCAGCCGTTTTTGGTACACCTTATTATACATCAATTCTACACAAGTTGTTAAAATTTCAGACCAAGGTCATTCAAGGTCAGGTCACCAGGTCACTTGAAGTGACCTCACCTCATAAAAAGTTTCAATGTCTGCCATAGCTACACTGAGTGACCGATTGCTTTGAAACTCTCAGTGATTGATAAGGGTAACAGTATCTATAAAATGTATATCTCGGAATTTTGATATCGGTGACCTAAGGTCAGGTCAATTTTGCGACCTCCCCATTATAAGTCAACGGAAGAAAATTGAAATGCGCCTCTTTTAGACGAAAGACATTATAAACACTTTCAAACACTGAATTACAAATGGTTTAGACACACTGAACATGAAAATGGTGTCCGTGACCCCTATTTATGCCCCTTAGGTCATCTCAGGTCACGAATGGTGTCTAACAGTTTTTCGCAAATAACTTTTGATAGAGGCATGCTAGAGCGGTGAAAACGCCTTAGATGTGTTCAGCTCGACGATACGGATCGACTGATATGCAACATGACCCTTTTCCGGTCAGGTCATGACCTTGACCTGAGGTCAAATTTTCAAGTTGACTTTTCAAGGTCAAGTTACAGTTCATTCGATGCGTCTTGACGAGAGGAACACGATGCCGGTAAAAGTAAGCTCGTACAAGGCTTGGGTCAAAAGTTATTGCAGAAGAACTGTTTCCGAAAAAAATCGGCTATTTTTGCAGTTTTTGCCCCCTGCAGGCAAAACCGTTGAAGTTAGGTCAAATCTGAGAGTATTACTCAGAAAGGGCGTTGATAGGGCTATCAAATGCGCTTTTCCGCGGCGCTGTAGCTCTATTGCTTCCCGAGTTATGCGTTGGCTTCCTGGAAATTGTCGACATTCGACCTGAAAATCGGCGAAATTTTGCCTTCAATGACCTCTGGTGACCTGACCTTTGACCTGACCAAAAAAGTGACCGAAGTGATTTCGTCATTATTTTTGGCGCTCTTTCGAACGCCGCCTTCCGCGTATCGCTACGTGGCCCAGGAGCCGAGTTAAAAGGGGGGTGTTCAAACACCCCCCCCCCCAGCAGGGCGTGGAATTCCAGGACCCCCAGCCGGGCGCGGGTTAAAGGCTGGGGGGGGGGGCGACGCCGCCCCCACAACTCTACTGTATATTTTCGCTAAATATTTTGTTTTTGTTTAAGCTTAAAAATGTAATTTTGTTATTTTTCAAAATGAAGTGGCCAAAATGCGAAAATAAAAATGAGGTAGTTTGTTTTGGGGACCCAAGCTGCCCTCCCCTCCATGCTGTTGGATAAAGTGACCATCCCAACTAATATTAGTTTTGAGTTGAGATAGCCAAATTGGAGTCCCTAGCCTGCAATTCGATTTGGGCACTCACAACGAGAAATGTTTTAATTCAGAAATATTTAATTTCAAAGTCTGCAGTTTTCGATTTTTAAAGGGCTAATGATGCATCTGAATGCCCCTTCGACGGCGCAGAGGTGAAGTCCGCAGTAATTTCAGTATTTTTTACGTTTTTATTCAAATTTATTTGATTGCGTTATTCGACATTTTGCGAAATGAAGTGGCCTAAATCCGAAGATAAAATTTAATTTGGGGTACCTTGGTTTTGTCCCCGGAATAGGACTCCGCCACAGAGCCATGACCCATGCCCCCACAACTTCAAACTAGTTTCCGCGTCCCTGAATTCATATATCAAGGAGTGCGTAAACCAACAATGAGCCTGATTGGACTGGTCAGCCGGCGGTTAGAGCCTAAATAGTGAACAAGCAAAAGTGCCGATAATTTTTATATTTTTATATATTTGTATAAATTTATATTTTTTACATATTTTTTTTTTGCCTGTAACTTATATATTTCGAAACTGCGGCTGATTACCCTGGAAAAAACTGTCGAGCGAAACCTAATTTAATTTACCTCGAGGTCACCAATGACGTCACAGGACAGCTCATTTTGGGTTATTCACCATTTAGACTTTGGCCGCCGGCTAACACGTCGGATCAGGCTCAGTTTTGGTTTACGAACTCGCTGATATATTCCACAGATATCCGGATGGCAACAAACATGTAATGCAAATTTTTCAGGTCAAGGTCAGGTCATCCTTGGTCAAGAAAATTTTGTATCATGTAGGTATCGGTCATGTG